GGTCCATGGGATCTTGGGGACCTGTTGCTCCTACAGCCCCCATCCCAGCTCCGTGAGTTTCTGGAGTAGGAGGTAGGAGGTAAGCTAAAACCCTGTTTAATAGTCTTCCAACTGTGGGGCCTGGTTTGGGAGCCATACACAAATGTGGACATAAAACTACCAGATGTCCCGCTCATGAAACCATTCCTGACTCTCACCCTTTTCTTCTGCCCTCTCCTTTTATAGGGTGGGGATGTTTGAAGTGCTCCGAGAGCTGGGTAGCTGCTTGTCTTGGGCTGGTGGTGGTGGTCGGAGGGTGGAGGCGGGCAGAGGAGTCCAGCTGTCTTTCTCCAGGCCTTTCTGAGAGCCACTGCCCAGGCCTGGTGGATGGCCAGGGGCAACATGGGGTGAACCTGTTTACAGCAGCTGGGCTTAGAGGCTGCACCGAGGCTGAGATATGACTTCAGGACCTAGACCAATTGTTTTATGTCTCAGGAGTCGCCTTGGGTCACACCATGAAAGGGACTGTATTGTCCCGAAGTGTCATGTCTACCTTGTTCCAATAGGGAGCAAGCCACACAGGGGCCCCTAATGAACAGAATTCTGCTCTGTTGACAAATGGACCTAGATCTGGATCTGGGTACCTAATTTCCTGTGTGATCTTGGACAAGTCACCTAATCTCTGAACCTCTGTCTCCTCATCTTTAAAATGGGTGTGATAATGGTGCCTGCCTCCTAGGGTTCTGAGGTCTACGTGAGATCACATGATAATTTTATCATCTTATCCTGTGTGCACACACACTCCACATTTGTACACACCATGTGCGTGCTTTTGAGCTTTTGTCTGAGACCTCAGAATCCTGCCAGCAGATCGGGCCCAGACCTCGCAGGGTCCACCCCATCATGTAACAGGAGACAGCTCAAGACAGGCATGAAAAGATGTTTGTGCGGACGTTTCTTCCACTTAGAAAATCAATATTCTGTGGTCTTCCTAATTGCTCTGTTGCTGCTAAATGAGTCATTATGGAGGGAAAATAGCAAATGCATTGTGAGATTAATGGGAGAAAATAGTTGGCAAATGACTTTGGTTTGCTTCTGAAACTCCAAGAAGGTGTTACTACGAGAAATCTGGAGAGCCATGCGAGGTGGAGTCCTGAGAACCAGCTATTGGTGCTGAGGCTCCAGAGGTGCCGGATGATCTGAGAGGGAGCTTTTAGGCCAGGGCACTGAGTTGGGCACCCCTCTCTAGGGGCTGGAATCACCAGTTCCTGAGTGATCAAGTCTGGAGCTGGTAATGGGACGGGAAGCTCTGATGGCCTGGTCCTGAGGAGACAGGATACTGTTCAGTGAGCTCCCCACCCTCTGTCCCCCGTGCTAGGCATGGTGCTAGCCTTGGGGGTGCAGTGTGAGCGAAACCAGCCCTGGCCCCTCCCTTAGTGGAGGAGACAGGCTGGAATGATGTTGTCTTACAGGTCAGCATGTAATTGCATTTGAGGCACGTGGCCTGAGGGCAGTGAGAGCCCAGAGCTGGAGGTTTGCATCTGTGGGGGTGGTGGGGATGGCTTCTTCAAGGAAGAGAGGATTGAGCTGAGCTCTCTGGGAAGGGCCTTTTGGGCGGATGGAAGAGCTTGTGCAAACGCAGTGGGTCTGGGAACGAGGGACCAAAAGAGGGCCTGTGTGATCACCCTCATAGCAAGCCCAGGAGGTGGATACTTCCTCATTTTACAAGTAAGGAAACCAAGGCTGAAGATAGTTAAGAGACTTGCCTGAGATCATAGAGCCTTTAAATGGCAGAGTCCGGATTGGAACCTGGACCTGCCTAACTCCAAGCCGAGCTGCATGCCCACCTGCTTCAGGGAGCTGGCCTTGGCGCCTGCTGCCCTGTGGGAGTCTCCGCAGCCAGTGTCAGGGACCTCATTCCTGCAGGACGGGGGTCTGCAGAGGGCTGCCTGAGAATCTCCTGAGCCGGGGAGGTATAGGACTCCAGACGGGGAGCCCCTGCCAGCCCCAAAGCCAGGCCTCTCTGCCGTGTTGGGGCTTTGTTTCCTCTCAACGGCAAGATGACTTGGGTAATTTTCTGATGATCAAAAAAGATCAATTAATGACTCCTCTTTGAAAAAACTCTGAAAATAACACATTTCTCCCCCCATGAAGGGGGTTAATTTATTCCCTGCCACTAAGCTGGCCTGTCACTAGGTGGGGCCTACCGGCTGCCTGTAGAGGTGGGGTGGAGGAGGCGTCAGCTGAAGATGCCTGGAGACCTGTGGACTCCCAGGGTTTTAGGAAGTGGCAGCAGCAGATGAAGAGAGACCAAGCACTCCTTGTGGGCACTGGGAAGAGGGCATTGGGGGGGCATCAGAGGTCATCCCACCTTGTCTTGGTTCCTGAATATACCTGAGCATCCTGGTGCTGTTGGAACCTGGCAAAACGATTCCAGAGCCCTCCTCAGGAGAGTCAGGTTCACGGGTCTAGGGTTGCCCTAGAATCTGTATTCACGACAAGCCCCTGGTGATTCTGAGACCCACTCAAGTATTGAGACCTCCAGCTAGCAGCTCTAGATTCTTCCTTGCCTGGAAGGGTCCCATTCCTCTGAGGGATGTTAGTGGTGTGGGTCCCAGGTTGTTAACTTGGGGCTGGATGTACCGCTGCTTGCTGTAGCTCGGGGAGCCAGGCCTCACTGTGTCCCTGGGGACGCTGCTAGGGCAGAGCCAGGGGGGCAGCTGAGTCCCCGACGACGAGGAAGGAACTTGGCCTAGGGTGCTTTGCTACTACTGTTGGCTGAAAGCCAGTTTCAGCCCAAACTCCAATTGGATTGGCTGTTCCTGCTCCTCTCCAAATATACCCGGCAGCCCCCCTGGTGAGAGGGTGAGTGTTTATTTGGTCTGGTGGAAGAGCCCCAGCTGAGGGCCCTTTGTCCTGCTCAGATTCCACTTCCAAAAGAAATCTGCTTAGTTCTCCAGATAAACAGCAGGGCATCTCCTTTGGGGTTCCAGGCAGGTCTGGGGTTGGCCCTGAAGGTATAGAGGGGATCCCAGCCCTCTCCTAGCATCCCAGTGTGCTGCCAGAGGGAGGACACCAGTGGCACCTGGAGTTGGTGCCCTGAGGTCTGCTTTCTGGTCTTGTTCCTGCTTCAGGGAGCCAGTCCCTCCCTCAGAGAGAAGGTCAGGTGGACTGGCCCCACCCATGGTGATATTTCAGAGTTACCGCAACAGCTCTCACTCTGGGTACCAAATCCTGGGTCTCCTTGTAGGCAGTCCCTGTCCCTCCATGCTGGCAGACTCCAGCCAGCCTGAGCCCAGGCAGATGTGAAGCAGAAGGAGCCAGGTCAAGGCTTGTCCCACACACTTTTTCTTCCACCTGAGTCATGTATTTCACAGTCGTGCCTCCCTCGGTTACTATGCTAGCTTGGGCAGCTGCTTGTTTTCACGGGTGCTCTGCTATTTGCAGGTAGATAACGGGCTGTCCTTGGAGCTTTGTTCCATGGCTCCCATCATGGTCTTTGGCCACCCTGGGGACGTGGGGTGCCCAGCACAAAGCCTGGTGATGCATCACCATGCAGTTCCAGTTGGTCATCCCTGCTGTCTCTCCCTCCTGAGTCAAAGTGGCTGCGTAGCTGTTTTTGGGTTCCTTCAGTAAATCTCTGTAGCCTCTAATGGTGGTTAGTGTGGGTGGGATTCTGTCTCCTTTGCCCACAGAGACTCCAGGAAGAGTGTGTCAGTGAAGGAAGTCTCATAGCGTGCTCTGCCCTGTGCACACACGTTTGAGCGAGCTCTCAGAAAGGCAGCCCCACAGCCTCTCATAAGCTGGGACAGCCCCTCACTCTCTCCTTCCTCCCTAGAGAAGCAGCCTGCCCCATAAGTTCACTCCCAGGCGATGCCACAGTGTTCTCATGGCGGGAACTGCCAATCTCCTCATTGGCTTCGGGGCCAGGGTCTTCCATTGAGTGCTGGGCCTCAGGCGCAGCGAGAATTCTGGACCACAAGAGGCCACCTGTGAAGGGTTGGGGCTGGCCTGCTGAGCTTGTCTGGACCTTAGGGCAGGTACAGACAGTCTGGTGACGCCCTGTGGTCTTTTTTTTGGTCACACTAGAAGCCACTCATTGCACTAATGGAAACACCGCATCCTATCTGATGCAGTCGTGCAGAAGACTATTTAGTGGGCTCGCTGTAGCTCCGCGGCACGTTAGAGTCCTTGGGGCGGGGCTCCTGCGGGTCTGCCCTTGCGTAGGTTCACTTGTTTCACACACGTTTATCACTGTCAATCATTTACCTTAAGATGTTTCTGGATGGCCAGCAAACTACTTAGCACTATCCTGGGCATTCTGAACTGGGTTGTCACCTTGCCTGTTCAGGTGAGGTCACTCCTCCCTACCCAGAGTTATTCTGGCTGTCGTGTCTGACCCTGCTGGGTGGCAGCCATGTGCTGGGCACTGAGAGGAGGCCTGGGTGAGAGTCCAGTCAGGGTCGTGCCTTCCTCGTACCATTCTCCTCTCAGATCCACCTCCCCTTCGTCAGCCTTCCTTCTCTGCCCTCCCCCTCCAGTGCCGTGGGCCACCTGCTGCTGCAGGTCCAGGACCCTCAGTGGAGGGGCAGGTGCCGCTCAGTGGTGGGCGTCCTCAAGATGAGCCTGGGTTGTTGGAACTCCTGGCCCAGAATCCCCAAGCCCCCAGCCATGGTCCCTGTTTGGATTGTGTTGTGACAAGGGGCTTGTTTCCAACATGTGAGGTGTGCCCACGTTTCTGTCTTGATGGCCTTTCATGCTGGTGGCTCCCCCACGGGGCCCCTGACATTTTGTGTTGAGGTTTTGGAAGGGCCAGGCCCTCAATGGGGAGCCCCTGGCCAGCGGAGCTGGTAGCCCAGGAGAGAGCAGCCGGTTCTAAATCACTCTGCCTGTGAAGGCAGACTCTCTGGGCTGCCCTGGCAACAGCTCCGCGCCAGCCTGTCGGTGTGGCCGCTGACAGCCGCGGCTCCTGACTGGCTGCGCTCCCCCAACTCCGTCCCCGCCCGCTCCCGCTCACTCACTCATTAGCAGCAGCGCCTCGCATCCTTTAGGCAGATGGTGCAGAGGAAGTGCAGGGCTGGGGTCGTTGGACTCTTGAGTGGCCTTGCACGCTCCCATGCCTGAGTGGGGTCACCCTCAGTGGATTCATCAACGACATTGGCCTGGGTCGGATGCCATTCGAGACCAGGCTGCAGAGATAATGTAGCGCAACGTCGAGGTCTTAACAAGTCTCTCCAGTCCCCTGACTCTTATCCCCACTCCCCTGAGCCTCCGTGCCCTGGTCACCCCTGTTTACTCACCAGATACGGCAGGCAGATGCCTCGGTTCAAATCCCAGCTCCACCTCTTGTCAGCTCTGTGACTTTGGGGGACTTGCCTAACTCCGTAAAATGGGGATAATAGCAATTCCTATCTCGAAGGGCTGTTGAGAAGAATAAATGAGATTTGTAGCTAAATGCTTAGCAGAGCGCCTTGAGATGTGTTAGCTATGACTGTACCATGATCTCTGTCTCATCTGTTCCCTCTGTCTGGAATGCCTCCGTCTCTTCCCTGTGCTCTTCCTGCTTTGATCCTGTCTGTCCAGTCCTAGTTCTTCCTCCTGAAGCCTGCCCTGGCCCTCCTACCCAACGATCGCAGGTGGACTTCACTTTGCTGTGCATTTTCTGTCCTTGTTTTCTGTGCATCGTTACTGGGTCTGCTCCCCTGGCAGCAAGTGGGGCTTCCTGAGGGCGCTGACTGAAGTTGCACTTGTCCTGCTCTTCCAGGTAGAACAAAGCAGAGTCTAGCTCCTTCCAGCCCTCCAGAGCCTCGAGGTGAACCTGGAGATGCATGCCGTGCCCCACCCCCAGCAGCATCCTGCAGCCAGTAGAGCATGTGACCAAGCACATTCACAAGGCCTTAGAATGAGAAGAAGTCATAGAGATCCCTTCACAGTTTGGAAAGCTGAGGCCAAGAGTGAGGAAGGAATCTACCCAGGGATGTGCAAGGAGTTGGAGGCCTCGCCTGTTCCTTTCTGCACTTCTCTGCCTGGGGGGTGGGCAGGAGTTGGGCCTGCTCCCAAGCAATCAGGGAGGGCTTCAAGAAGAGGCTTGAAAGAGGATGAGTTCATCAGATGGCCAAGTGGGGGGAAGGGCAGTTAGGCAGGGGGAACCCCATAAGCAAGTGTTCCGGCAGAGGCTTCGAACCTTCCTGTCCTTGGGACGTGAGGCTGCTCTGGGAAGCGGGAAGGGGCTCTTAGAGCATCGGGGGAATGGGAAATAGTTCAGATGTAGCAGGTAAGGAGAGGAGGAGATGAGGGGGGAGCTGGGTTGGGACTGGGCCCCTACCGACCATGTCTGTGGGGTTGGATTAGGTGTGAGGATGGGTGCGAGGATGGGACTCCCTCCCTGCCAGGTGCTTTGTCTCTTAACGCTCACAGCCACCCGAGAGATGGGAAACCAGGTGCTGAGAGGTTTGGTAACTTGACCCAGGTCTCATGGGCTAGTAAGGGACTCAGAATGGGGACCCCAGGTTAGGTGACTCTCCAGCCTCTGGTGACTACTGCATATTGGGGATGGGGTGGCATCACCTCCCTGGGCTTGGAGCTCAGGAGTCTGTATTAACTACTCCCCAACCAGATATGGGGCCCCTAACAGAGTGTATGTAAAAGACGTGTCCCACACAGGTGCTGCGTCACTGTTTGTTCCCAAGTCCGGGTGCACACTGCACAGACATGCACATGGCCCATGGGTGCCTTCAGAGAATTTGGTCACTCACCCAGCCTGGCAACCCTCTCGTTAAACTAGGCTGTTGGGAAATGGGTAGAGTGGCAGGCAGCCGAGAGCTGGGCAGCCCCAATTCTGGCCTCTGCTGCCCAGCAGCCAAGAGGCGGGGCTCTTGTAAGAACTAGGTCCCTCACCCCTGTCTCTGGGAGCCCAGGATCCCCTGTGGGCATCACAGCATTCTGATGCTTACTTCCTGGCAGTTCTCTTGGTATGACAGTTGTCTGCATGCCCCATTGAGGGGCAGACCTCCCATGCACAGGGCCCAGGCCTCCATTCTGGGCCCCTGGCACCTTGCATGCAGCCTGGCACAGTGCAGGGCTCAATAAGCATTTGCACCATGAAGGATACATGGAGCACCTACTGCGTGCTGGGCCCTGTGCCAGGCGTTGGAATAATTAACTTTGGCATGGCACTTCATGATTCACAGAGCTCCTCTGGGTCCCATTAGGAGGTCGATTGTCTCAGATCAGGTATTTATTTCCCCATTTTCCAAATGAGGAAACCGATGCTCAGAGAGAGGAGGCAAGTAACCTGAAGTCACATAGCCAATGAGTGGCAGAAGCAGGCCGAGCCCTTCCTCTGAGCGGGTGCCTGCTCCCTGGGCTGTGAGCACACTGGAGGCTGTCAGCTGCTCCTCTCCAGCCAGCCTTTACTGAGCACCACACCCTGGACCAGCGATGGCACTCCTAGGCCGGCAGGGAAGCCAGGCCCACAGAAACCCCTATTCCGGGAAGCAGGACCCCTGGGGGTGTGACTTGCTCCTGGCTGGCTCTCATTGCCCCACCCCAGCAGGAGCAGGGGCCGCCTCTGCCACTGCCAAGGACAGGAGGACCTGGCTGTCAGGGTCAGTGACTCTGTTTGGGGTAAGTCAGGCAGAAGAACAAAGAGAACCCTTCCTGCCAATGTGACTCTGACCTTGAAAACCCAGAAAAAGGGAAGAGTTGGCTCTCTGCTTGCCTCCTGCAGGTGGGTATCAAGGAAGCCTTGGCTTTGTCATTGGCCTTGTCATTTCTTGCTGCTGAATTTCTCCGTTTCAAGTTGAATGAAAGTCCTGGGGATCAGTGTCCATGGATTGGCCTGGAATCTTGCCACTGCTATAGAAGGTAGGGAGATGCCAGGATCACTGCTTTTGCTTTGGCTGGCCTCTGGAAGACACAACTTTTGAAGCAAAGGTCAGTTATTGGCGTGAGAGTCTGGACACAGCCCCGAAGGCTTACCCCAGTGTCCTGCTGCAGGTGTGCCAGCTGTGGGGGACGGGGGAGTGAAGAGCATCGTCCTATCTCTGCTTGGGGTCTTGCAAGGCAGTGGATAGCAGTCAGGAAATCTGGGGCACAGGGAGGCATTGCGTCCTTGTTCATTATTCCACAAACGATAGCTAGTCCCTACTGTGTGCCACATGCTGAGTGTGTTCCTGGGAGATAATGCGGTGGGTCCTGCCCCAGTCCTGCCAGCTGCCACACAGGAACCCCTGGCTGAGGCAGTCTGTAGATGTGGTACATGCTGTGGCAACCTGGAGGGCGTGTGTCCTGCTAAGGAGGGCAGTAACCACTGTGCCGTGGGACTGGGCCTTTGGATTTACGAGAGAAGCCAGAAATCTAGAGTTTTTTATAAGACTTTAAAAAATTTCACATCTTTAAATGTTGGCAATTGGTTCAAAACTTAAAAATGTCAAATACTGTGTGGGCTTAACAAAACATGGATGTTGACCAAATACCGCCTGTACTTTTTAGTTAGAGACCTTTATCCTAAAGGTTGGAGAAACCCAGGTGGGCAGAGGGGAGTAGGCAAGGCCTCCTGGTGAGGGAGCCACCTGGGCAAGGTGTGGCCTTGGGACTCTGCATGAGTGGTTTCAGGACAGGGGACTGAGGCAAAGGGGACTGGAGTGCAGGACAGATGGGGCCACGCCCGTTCTTGGAAGCTGCACATGCTTTGCGGAGGGACTGGTGCTAGTCAGTGTGAAATGCTGCCCTGCATGAGCTGATACGAGGCTGGCCTGACCCAGGCCAGCTTGAGCCTGCGGCAGTTGTGTCCCGACCCCCAGCCAGGTGCTTCTGCCTGGTGTTGTCACAGTGAAGGATAGGCTTCGGCCAGGGAAGAGCTCAGGGAGGAAAGGTCTTAAGTATTTAAGAGAATCTTCAGGACACGTGGTATCCTGATCTTTAGCAAAGGTGGAAGTGCGTAGCTTTGGGGGGCTGTCCATCCCTGTGTGTCCATGCACGCACATGACCCTCCCTGCCCTTCGCAGTTGCTCTCTCTCGGACTGAGGAGCTCCTTCAGGCACAGGAAGTTCTAACCCTCAGAAAGGGGCTCGCTCCTCCTTCTCCTGCCCCAGCAGGGGTCCTGCCTTCTTCAAAGGGTTGGAACTGCTCTGGCCAAAGCCTGTCTGGGTGTCTTCCTGTTCTGGCCTGCAAGCATAACTTTTGTTTCTCCACCCTGTCTGCCACTCTGTCTGGAATCCATATTTGTGTTTCTTTCCAAATGATCACCTGGCATAAACGGTCCTTCAGATTGTTCTGGCAGTTTGTCTAGCAAACTTTCAATGAGCACCTGCTCTGTGCAGGGACTTGGGCTAGAGACACACAAGTGGTTGAAGCCCAGGGTGGCCAGGGACTGATGGAGTAGACAGACACACAGCCGGCCCGCGGGGGTCCAGCCCCAGTGTCTGTGCAAAGGAGAGCAAGGCAGCAAAGGCGGGGCGGGGCGGTCAAGAAAGAGGTGAGGTGACTGTGATCCCCAAACGCATGTGTCTGAGACTGGAGGCTCCCGTCTGGTCCCCCAGCCCTGCCTCCTCCCACTCTTGCTCTGTCCTCTCTGAGTGCAGGGAGTGGCAGCAGCTGGCCTGGGTGAGGCCCAGGCAGAAGAAACAAAATATAAGGCGGGCACTTGGCCTTCTGGAGCTCCTGGGGTCACGGGAGGAACACGTGCCAGCACTGCCACATTCCTCACAGAGTGCCCTCTCATTCACTTCATTTTACTTTTAAGTCTTTTTTAATATAAAGGTAATTAAAAATACAAGCATAGAGTGCCGTATCCCAGCCATACGGGAGCGTAAAGCAAAAAGTGAAATTTCTGTCCTCACCACTACCACCATAGAACCTCCCCACCCACCAAAAACCACTATTGACTGATGGTCGGAGGCTTTTTCTGCCGGCTTTGTGTGGCTTTAAAAGAAATTCTCTATTCTGTGTGCTTGAGAACATGTTGTCTTGCTTCATCTTCCCTCCTTGGCCTGCAGAGAGGGGAGGGGAAGAAAGACTGGCTGTTCTGGCCTGGAGCCCTAAGATGAGGAGGGGACATGTCCTTGCACACCCCCTCCCTCCCAGCACTCACACCCTTCAGCCCCCCAGTTCTGGGGGTGGGGGTGGGCGTGGCTCTCCAGGTGGTCCCATGGTGAGGGAGGGAAGAGGGAATGGTCTGCCAGCAGCTTCACCCAAACTCAGAGGCTGTGGGCTGCCCCAGCCAGCCAGCAGAGAGGGCAGGAGGTAGCTGGCTGTCTCAGGGTATCTCCTGCAGACAGGACTCCCCCAATGGACCCTGGGGATTGAGTTATTTCTGTTTTTGCTCACCTGTGTCTGGCCCTGGGGACAAGCACGGGAATCAGCTGTGGTCCCTGACTGCCACGGAGGAGCCCCCAGCCTGGGGTGGGAGAGATGCATGTGGCCTCAGTGAGATGGTCTCTGCCTGCGGGCTCTCACTTGGCCAGCTCCTTCCGGGGCCAGGTGGGCTAGGAGGCAGCCAGGCCTAGGGAGAAGTCTTTGCTGGGCTCAGAGAACCTCCTGGAGGAGGTAGGATACAGGGAGATTTGAAGATTTTCTCAGCCCTAGTCCTTGACCTGATGGGGCTCACAGTGCCTCCCTCTCAGCAAGGGAGAAAGTGGATAGGAAAGAACTTGAAATCTGTGAGATGCAAGCACTTGGTGCTGTTGTTCTGTTTGGAGTCTAATGATTTCCCCGGTGGAGGCCCTGTGAGGACTGAGATGCAGAGCTGGTTGAGAACTGGGCCCTGTGGGGTGGGGGTGGAGGGAGGGCACAGGAGGAATATCTGTCTGCTCAGGCTGGAGAGCCCAAGCCGGGCAGGGTGTGGCTCTGCCTGTCACTGCTTGAGACCCTGAGCAAGGGACCTGGTCATCTGTAAAATGGGCTGAGGAGTCTTTCAGCTTCGGGACCAGCAGAGCCCTCAGCCAGTGATGAGGGTGATGAGGATGTTGATGGTGATGAGAGTAGGGATGAGAAGAACCAGTATTGAGGGTTCACTTTGTGCCAGGCACCGTGCTGAGTGCCTCATGTACTGTCACCACTGCCACAGAATCCAAGCCACAGTCACCTCCCACCTGGAGCCTGCAGCCAACCCCTAGGCTGGTCTCCCCACCTCCAGCTTTGCTCCCCTTCAGTCCATTCTCAGCCGGCAGCTGGAGCAATCTTTAAACAAGAAACCACCCAGTGGTGTCTCACCCCTTCCAACTCTACTCCAGGCTCCTTCCTGTGGACCCTGCATGGGCAGCTCCTGTTGATTTTACTGCCCTCACTCGTCCCTGTCTCCTGCCCCTCAGGTGCCCTGGCCCAGGATCTTTCCCCTTGTTGTTGCCTCTTCGGGATCACTCTTTGCCCAGATGTCTGCGACCTGCTTCCTCACTTTATCCAACCATACTGTCAAACACAGCCTCCTGCTCCCCCTCTAGCTTGGACCCTTTTCTGTGCTTCTGGGTCTTCCTGGCACTCGAGCTCACCTGATCTTACCCTACGTGTATTGGTGTACTTCTGCCACACCAGACTGTAAGCCCCAGGGAGCAGGAAGTTGATGTCTCGTTCCCTAATGTGTCTCCAGTCCCTAGAATAGGGCCTGACGCAAGGTTGGTGAGAGAACAAATCAACATATTTCATTTACTCTTACCCATTCAGGTAGGCACATTGCTATCTGCATTTTACAGGTGAGGAAGGTAAGGTCAGAGAGATGGATTGACTAGCTCGTGGTCAGACAGCTGCAACAAGACAGCCAGGATTTGAGCCCTGTGTCTGTAGCCCAGAGCCCTGTCTTAGCCAATAGAAGCTCCCACCTCCCTGGCATCTAGGCAAGTCTGTGTCCAGGACAGGACAAGAATGTGAGGGGGCCAAGAAGGGTGGGTGGGATTGTACCCTGGGAAGAGAGGAGAGGTAGGGCCCAGGAGGGAGTGAGACCAGAAACTGTGGAGGTCTGAGAGGGCCAGGGGGCAGGTCTGGAACTTCCGGGAGGGTCAGGACAGGGAGCCTCTGCAAGGGAGTCCCAGAGGACAGCGTGCTGGGCACCACCGTTCTCAGAGACCAACGTATCACCTGAGTCCAGGTTCCGTGCACTGGCTCTGGTTCCTGGCATGATCTCTGGTTCCCAGAGCAGCTCGGGCGTGGCCCAGCTTCCCAGGGCGGAGAAACACATGGTGAGAGAGAGTGAGTGTGTGTTTGTCCAGCCTTGCTGTTTATGTTGTCGTCACGTCTTCTTAATCAGCCTGTTTCTGGGAGCGATGACTTCATCTCCTGTGATTCTCGACACAGCCATTGTCAGGCGTCCGTGGAAAGATTGGGCCTGGCACCACCCCTGTTCTCCTAATGAGCCGGGTTGGGAGAGCCAGTTGGCAGGCCCTAACCCAATCTGGGTTGGGGGCTTATGGTCAAATCTACCTCCAAGCCTCTCCTTTTCCACTGGTCACCCTTAGATCTGGCCTCATTAAGCCTGGGGAGCCCAGTGCAGCAAATTCCAGCCAGCCAGCTAGCCAGTGCACACATTGTATGTGGGCTGGGGGCAGTCACACCCAGTCTCTGCCCTCAAGGGCTCCTGCTGGCTGGAGGGAGCAGATGGGTCAACAGACCCTACGTCAGAGGGGCTGAGGGTGGACAGAGAAGGGAGTGAGGACTCCACTGGGGCTCAAGGAAGGCTCCATGGAGTTGGTGGTTGGGCCGCAGGGTGAAGGTCAAGGCTGGTGGAAGGTTTCCGTGTGGAGAGGAGGGAAAGGCTTGCTGTAGGAAGCCCT